TTTCTTCTCCATCGATTTATCGAATCACTTCCCTTCATCTCGAGTGGTGAATAACAAAGCTCTATTACAGATATAAAGTCAAAAAATCAATTTTAGTTTTTTAAATTAATTTTTACCTTCTTGGATTAAAACAATAAAATATTCTATATAAATCATGTATTTATTTTAAAATGTATATATAAATTTCTTTTCATATTCATACGCATCCCTGTATTATCAGTAGTGTTGGCCAAATGCGAGGCCCAGACGAGTCTTGGTCTTGCAAACTCAGTTTGGTCACGGTCTTGGTCTTGCACAAGAGTCTTGCAACAGTCTTACAGTACTGTATTTTGTAGATAGGAGAAACCTAACTAAGCCTGAATGAGAAATTAAATGCAAAACTATATTGGTTATACCAATTATTTACATATAGTAACTTTTCCTTAATTTTTTATTAAATTTTTTACCAGTCCTGGTCTTGGTATTGCAACAGTTAGGCGGCCTTGGTCTTGGTCTTGCAAAGTGCAAGACCAAGACCGATTTTGGCAACACTAATTATCAGACACTTTTTATACTGTTAATGTTTTGTTTTATCCGTATTAATTTCCTTATTTATATATAATATTTGTATTATTTTTTTTTCTTCATTTTTGTAGAGATCAATCCTAGATTGTGTACTTTTTATATTTATGCTCAAACCATGTTTCCTTTTCTTTATAACTGTTTTCTTAAACATTTTATTTTCCTACTTGAACAAGATTGGATTTTATAAAGCGCTAACGAAGATATTGCGTACCGATGAAAAATACCTTTGATGTATAATATAATAATGATTATACCTTGCCTATGATAAACATAATTTAAGAACTTGATTTAGTGCTATTTGAAATGATTTTTAAATTAGCTGACCCTTACAGTATGTATTCTTTTTTTTTTTTAAATCAATAGTAAGTTATCGCTAAAATCATGTATTTACAAAAAAAAAAAATATATATATATCTCCCAGAATGAGTTTTATGTTTGACGCGAAACTCGTGACAACATTTTTATCAACTTGTCTCATACATCATGTTGCCGGGCAACGGCGGTGCTGTGCACATGCGTTACCCCGTTAGGCCACCCCACCCACAAAAAATAGTCTCTATTAGGAAAGATAATAATAATAATGAAAAATCGCTGCACATTTTTGTACCATATTTACTCAGTCTGGGGAACTAGCCTAGGAGACCCCAACTAAAGCAATAAACGTCAATGGAGGCTGAGCATGGACACTAATATACGCACTCAATAATATTTGACACTCCTCCATAGTAAGGCAAGATCGAACATTGTTAACTGTTTACAGTATTCACAGAGAGCAATAAATTACAAACCTGAGCTCAATAAGAAAAAAAAATTGACTGAAAAGGTTGTGTTCCCTCCTGATACCAATATCTGAGAGATACTTATTGCATTGGTTCCTATATCTCAATGCCTAAATAAAAACATTAGCACTTTGGATAAAGAATCGATTCCTGATTTATGTTGCTATCGATAAATAAAGGAATACTTAAGAGAGACCATATGTTTCCCTCCCGATGGCTATTGCTATACCAAGGACGTCTGGTCAGTTCTGTTTTAAATTTATTCCACAGGATTTTATTCTGCTAATTTACGATCTTGTTTTTAGGCGAAAATAAGAAATAATTAGAGATGGTTGTACAAGTAAGCTTATATTGTAAGTTTTTTTTTCTTTTTTGAATTGTACATATGTGTTTCTTCCTAAGATTACCAAAATAATCAGATATATATTAAATGTTTAATTTATAATTATTACATTTATTTATAGACCTTACTCTATTTTCACATTAAATGTTCATGTATGTAAACAAGTAATTTAAAAAAAAATATATATCTTAAATTGTATTTCATATTATTGTTAAAACTAGGGGGTAAGATATCTGAAAAAAATACATATAGCTGTAAAGATTATTTATTTTCTTTTTCGAAATCATTCCATCTGGCTTAAAATTAGTTATTTATTTTAAGGTTTCTATATAAAATTGGCCTTAACTCAAACTAATGATGAACAATTTTTTTTTTTTTAATTTGTAATCGCCTCTACCATAGAGGGTCATTGGCGGCTAGTTTTCTATACTCGATTGTAATATTTGGTCTCTATTAAGTATCGGAATAGGGTGGCGACTCCATCTTTGTTCTCTCTTAATATTTCTTTTATTGTCATTGGTAGTTTCAATTTTTGCCGAATGTTGTTGAACTCGTGGCACTCTATTAACAGACGTTTTACAGACTGCGGTTTATTGTCACACTTTTGGCACGTGGGTGGTTCCAGACCTCTGAGAAGGTACCCGTGGGTAAACAGGCAGTGACCTATTCGTATTCTACACAATATTGTTTCTTCTCTTCTGGATATTCTTGTGCTACTAGCCCACTTGTTGCAGTCTGTTTTTATTTCCAATAATTTTTCCAGTCTATTTTTCCATCTAGTTACCCATAAAAATTAAATGAATGTAGAAATCAATTAATTGTTTTTATACAGAAAAAAATAGATAAACAATTTTAAGCTGTTTTGAAAATAAAAATTAAATAAATACTATCAAATTTAAAAGTAAATGATAAATATTTAAAAAAAATATTAAACATTTATACGTTAGAAAAATAATATTATCACTGAATGTAATAATATAAAAGAATACAAATTAAATGAATGTAGAAATCAATTGTTTTTATACAGGAAAAAAATAGATTAAATTTTTTTAAAAAATAGATTTAGTTTTTCCAAACAAATCAACTCAAACAAATTAAATATAAAAGAAATATCAAATGATAAATATACTATTTTGTATTAATCTATTATTTATTTCATATATATAATTAAATTATTCTCTATTATTTATAATGTGAACGATTCATTAGTAATGATAAAAAGGCCGGCATTTTTCGCACTCCCGCAGATATTTTACCGCCAAAACGATCTAGGGCATGGTGTTGTAATGTCAAGGGCGACATCGGAATCCGTCTCATTCTTTATTTTTTTTTCTTTCTCGTTTATTATTTTTTCTCCCTTCTTGAGCTACTATTTCTTTTTATCCTATTCTCGGATTCTTCATTATCGGTTCCACGTCTTTAATATAAATACTGGGAGAGTAATCTTAATAAAATCGGAATGGATGTTAAAAATTCCTTCCAAAGAGGCTCGAACGCCTTAACGAAGTCGATCTTTTATCGACGGCCTGACCTTTGCTGGCGATACCAGGAAGTTCCCACACCACACGAAAAACCTTCAGAATGGCACACAATTAAAAATGTTTCGCGAAGAATGCAACGAAGCATAAATAAAAACACAACTGGCCTGTATTTACGTCCTTGCAAGGAGCATGACGATATATAAGTAAGGACCTATATAGGAGGCAGTGGGTTGCCGGGCCGACAAAAAAGAAAGCTGTTCCACTTAAACACTATCAGTGAAACAAAACACCGAGCACCCGGTGTTCTCTTTCATTCGATTAGGGTGTCAAGTGGCGTCCTCTATTGCCTCACTTTAACATATCAATGGACATGTTGCATTATAGTCTTGACATATATAACATGTCTTACAATGTGTAACATGATACTATGCGCGGCTACCTGAGCATTATACGTTTAACTCAATTAAACCAATATAACATACTTGTATTTAATACAAAATATAGAAATATTGTTTTAACCTAAAACAAAAAAACAGGTCATGTGTTTTTAAGTGCACGATGGTCTTCGGAATATGTTTCGATCCATTAGGTTTAAGAGGAGCCACTTTAATAGGAACGGTTATTTTTGGAAGGCTCATACAATACAGCTTCAAGCATTTGTTATCGAGTTAACGATTTCGAATTCACATATTGGCTACAACCTTACTCTTAAACTCTATTTTTTTTTCTATTTATTTATTGAATATAATAACTATCACTTGTACGTTAGTTATAGTGAGGTAGGATAACATCCGCACTGCAAAATAATAATCAAAAAGTATATACAATAAATAAAATAAAATAACTTAAAAATAAGGAAATTAAAACAATGCAAAAATCACATACATAGCTATATATATTATTTACAATCAGGTGAGGGAACTTAGAAGGCAGGCTTATCCCTGCAACTATGGAAAAGCAAGACAGCAGGAGAACCCTGAGCTCCTCTCTCAACCGCATCACTGGTACTAAAGCCAGCCAGTGTGGGAGGGGTAGCCGAATGGGCTAAGGCGTGCGCACACAACACCACCGTTGCCCTGATATTTCAATCAAATGATATAAAAATAGTCATGAGTATTTTAAATCCCCGCCCACACTCCCTGGCCCGAGAAAACCCCGTATAGCCTTAACGGCGAGGAAGTGGAGGACAAAAAAAAAAAAAAAAAAAAAAGCCACATACACTCATGTCTTGAAAGGAGAATCTGAACATTAATATATAATCTACAAAATATTACGGGACTTCTGCCGTTTTAACCTTCTTGGAGGATTATAGGGGTGGGTGGTGCTTGATAGGGATTGTGCAATAGGATTTGGATGATACGTAAGGTTCTGGCGAAATTCGGAGAATTTTTCTGGGATAAGATCTAGGACGAATGGGATGTTGAGGTCATGGTGCAGGGTTTTGTTGGTTACATAGAAAGGAGCATTGGTTATTGTTAGAGTTAGATGCATTAAACTGTATTAAAGATAATTTAGAAAATTAGAGGCGTATATAGGGATGGGGACGAAGACCCTTTTTTTTGCATGACAACTTCATTAGAAAAGTCATGAATCATATGATAACTTATTTTTTTATCAGTGGTAATTTTTATCTTTTCGGATTGTATTAATATAACATGACTAAGGAATTAAAATTCATTAATATTAATATTACAATGTAAACTTTTAAGACCTATTGATAAAAAACCGCGTCGCTTGATATCCACTTGCAGCTTGGACCGAACTGATATGTTCTAACAAATATTATTTTAATGGAAGTATTATTTTCGTTTTGTGAGAGATTGAAACTCTAGGATGATCAGCGCTGCCTGGTGGTATTTAGGAACCCCTTTCACTTTCGGAGAAGATTCGCCGAACTTTCGAAACTGTAACCTAAATATTTCTGTAATTTGCATCTTGTTGCATCAGAGGTGCACCTGCAAACACCTCACGGGACATGCAACTACCTCGCGTGACATTGTTGCAGTGCAATTAATTGCATTCTTGCCTTATATTTTTTACAACTATTAAATATTCAAGTATGATATTTTTTTAAAAATTAATTTTCTTTTTACAATAATGCTTTAGGAAGATATTTAATAAATTACAGTACCATAAAATGTTAGATCCCTATCAAGTTTTTAATATTTATGTATAATTATTATTTATATAAATATATTATAAATATGTAGTTTTCTTCTGTCCAGGCTAAAGAGATGGAAGAGGCCTCAGAAACGGTGCTACACCCCCAGTTGATCTGGTACCCACCACTCCTTATTAAACCATCGGCCATCAGGGCTAATGTAAGTAGAAATATCATATATAATTTATCATATATTTATCATACATATATCATTATAAGTATATAATTTTTATATAGAGAAAATATCAGGGTTTCTCCCTCAACTATTTCAGTGTTAAATAATTATAAAATTTGAAGTTGATTTATTGAGTATCATAATTTTGAATTATTTGATATGATTCTAAAATTTGATCACTTCATTTTTGGTTATAAGATTTTTCATATAGGGCTTAAAGAATATTCCAGATTTTTTTTTTTGTTTTGGATAATTATTTTATTTATTAAAATAAATTTAAAAGTGCTTAAATGCTTAAAATGCTTAAAATTCAAACATTGTCATGGATAGTTATATTTTAATTTTTAATACCTAAACATTGATTTGAATAGAAAAGAAACTTTATCCTGGGACAAAGTCCCCTCAAAATAACAATGATGAATACATAGAAAAAAATATATATTTGGCCAAAAACTAACTTAATAAAAATTCTGACAATATATACAGTAATTTAAATAATAAGTAATAAATAATAACGTGTAAATAACTTAAAAATAAATAAAAGTAAAATAAATTCTATTCAAGAATAGTTATAGTTGTAATATGAGAAACGAAAACAAAAATATATATATATTACATATAGAAAGGAACATAAAACCTGGAGAAAATATATGATAAGTATTACACGAAAACCATAGCACCTAAGAAATTTTCGGCAAGAATGAGGATTTATCTAAAAAAAAAAAAAAAAAAATACATTTTAGGAATTAAAAACGCAAGATCCGCCGACTTTTGAAACCTTTTGAGTTTTGATATTTTCAACGAATTTTATTATAATTCTTGTAAGATTTTACGTTTCAAAATATCTCCAAGAAATTCCCTTTCGTTTGATTCGGTCATTCATCAAAATCCATTATCTCTGAAAGCCAGAAAATTATTAAATATTCAATATAACTGGTTTTTGGTTAAACCGACAATTTATTCTCATCTCTGCTAAGCTCACTATACCCACTAGTAACAAGTGTGCGTTACATAATCCTGTAACAAGATCCTAACCATCTCAAGATGACAAACTATCTTATTAGCATAGGGCAAGAAATTCATCAGGTAGTTCGCTGACAGCTCTTCCCGACAGAGGTTCCGCCCGGCGCATGAACTGGTTCTACGATTACGTGGGTACCGCATCCTTCATCTATTCATAAAGACTGACTCACCCCGAGGAAGCCTTCATCATCTCATCTGATGAGCTCCGTTATCCCCCGGTCGTGTTTACCATCTTACGGTGTCAACTTGTGATGCAACATCGGCTGGCCTTCCCAGGATGTCGGATAACTGCACGGACGACCGCTAGGCGCTTTCCTTTTTGAAAGTGAATTATCTTCGGAATGGCCTTGTGGAGGTTATAGATGCAGTTTATAAAAGGAAAAACCCGAAGCGGAAAATTTCTAAGATTACATAGCTTTATTGTAAGCTTTGAAATCTTAGCCATCTTAACCAAAATATACCGCTGAAAGAAAGTAGTTATTGAAGGAAGTTAGTCAACTGCCCTATATAGTCAAGACACAGTCAGTTTTTAAAGATTTTTACTGTATGCGTTTGTGGGTTATTATGAGGGTATGCTACCAGCACTGAAGGTGTTCAAGTACTTGTACCTATTATTTTCAATGACCCTCCCAACATCATATACTGTCTACATTCTAACCTCGAAGGATGCGTGGTTGCCTAAGGGGAAGACATCCGACCTAGGAGATATGAGAGCCTTTATCAATGAATGAGTTCTCAATGGAACCGTACACGTTATTGACATTTCGATCCCGGTATTTTTCTTTTTATAAGTTAACAATGGGATCCTCTTCAAAGTTTTAGAAATAGAGCTTCGATACCTCAGGGCAGAGACACACCGATAGGCTCAGCACCGTCCACCAGCACATATATTAAGCTATTTAATATATATATATATATATATATATATATATATATATATATATATATATATATATATATACTTAATATATAACTACTAAGAGTAGCTTAATATATGTGTTGGTGGATGGTGCTGAGACTGTCGGTGTGTCCCTGCCCTGAGGTATCGAAGCTCTATTTTTAAAACATTGAAGAGGATCCCATTGTTAACTTATAAAAAGAAAAATACCCTGATCGAAACGTTAATAAAAACACAGAGGAAATGAACATCTAGTAGTTTATTAAATAATTAATAAGTGACCTTATTTCTAATAAAATGGTTATGTTTAAATATATATATAAACATATATTTATACATGTACAGTGCCATTTATCACTATACTTACGTAAATCTAAAGATTAACTCTCGGTTTTTTCTTTCATATCTAATCATTTTTGTATTCATTACGTCAATATTTTGCACGTGTTTTAATTTAAAATGTGATAAAAGATATCTATTTAAAACAAATATAATAATCTTGATTGTGCATGGTGACCCATATCGCAAAAAAAAAAAAAGAAGAAAAATACATCTAGCTATCTGTAAACATACAATGCATTTATTCAGTCACCATTAATTAAATTTATATTCTGTTCTGATACTGAAACTAATTTAAAAGAACTCTAAATTTAAATCTCAGACCCTTCAGTTTTATTTTATGACTGACAAGGAATATATTATCTTTCCTATTGTATTCTGTTAATTAAATAACAATGAAGTGTAATTGTGTGTAAATTAGTTTTTATATCTTTTTTAATAGTTTTGGTTTTATGAATGGATAACAAATGGAACTTAACACCGATTTTGTTTTTCTTTCAATAAATAATTTCGATATTTTCTTCGTTTTACTGATTCTTTATTCATTAAATAAAAAATATTAAATATAGTTAAATATCTTATCGAAATTTATACTTACTATATTGTAGCTCTATTCTTAAAATTAAAAAAGTGAACTTCTATGCACAGAGCTGTAGCAATTGCGAGAAAGTAATATAATTCTCTCAATGGAAGATATTAGGAAAACATGTTGGTTATTTACATAAACATATACATATTATGTTTTTTTTTTTTTATTGAACGACGAAAGGTTATTTTACTACTTTGTATTTATAAACGGCAGTTATTAAAAATTAATTTTTTATTTATCCATAACTTGCCTATAGGTTTTTGATTTCTTGTTGTAAGTTTCAGGGTTGTATTTTCACCCTCTTCAACATCTAACATGTCCCAATATTGGTTGAGTCTATGGATAAGTTTAGTCAATGACTGAAATTTTATTTACACAATAACGGAACATGCTAGATATTGGAGAGGGTGAAACAGTACCCCCGAAACGTCCACATTGAAATCAAAACTCCATAAAATATTTTTTTAAATATTTTTCAGAGGAGAAATAAAAAATAATTAACTCATATAAAGAATATAAACTGACTATTAAATAAATTTTATGTTGAAATAATTACGTTTTGCTGCTGGGCTCAATCTAAATATTTCCATAAATTCTTCAGTACGATAACACTCGACCAAAATAAAGGTTCTTAATCGACCACTAACGAAGCCTTCAAGGATCGATAATAAATCGATACCTGGAACAAGGGCACCGTTGGCGAAACCATTAACCTCAAGGGCAAGGGATATGACCATTCATCACTCGAAGAATCCTTAATATCGCAATTGCGGTAACTTCATTGCAACAGTGTGTTAATAAATAATTCATTCCGTGATCGAACTCAGCCGAAAGGAAAAAAAAAAAAAAAACATGAAGAAATAAATCCCGTGATCGATTCTTTACTACGAACTACCTGCATATCGTAGTATTCAAGGAAATCGATTATAAGTTATAAGAGTTCGATTAATAAATAAAAAAAAATAATGTATATTAATACTTTGCAGTTACGTCATATTTTATTACACTGCGGTTGTTTTCCTGCTTCTGCTGCAATATTTTAAACCTAGTTACATTTTCCATTTAATTAACTCCTCGACTTAAATAACTCGATTCCTTTCACTGTTAAGTAAGTTATTTAATTAATTATCAGTAAATACAGTATTAAAAAAATAAACATCAAAATGCCGAAAAAAAAATTAATAAAAAACAAGTATTTAACCTGATTGACCACAAATATGCTTTTAAAAAGAAACATCTCAAAAATCCATTAAAAAAATTAGGAAATGACCTACTTCATTAATTACTTAGTTATTTATTCATAAACTTGTGTAATATAATATATATATATATATATATATATATATAATATGCTGGTAGTATTATGTAACTATTACACGTAGGACAGTCGGAGTCACTTCAGTGTACGTTCAAGGAGATCGGGCCCTTGAAACCTACGCTTCGACAAACCGGCACCTGTCTTTGCTTTATATATATATATATATATATATATATATATATATATATATATATATATATATATATATATATATATATATATCATATTACATGACAAATATGGCATAAGATATTAACTTTATCAAATCATCAATTATTACCTTAAATTCAAAATTATGTTCTTGAAAAGTAGATTTCTATTTGTGGATAAGAATCAAACGAATCAAAAACAAATTTTATTTCAGAAAATTAAACTCGATTTTTTTAAACAGTTAGTGTTTAACAGGTTTCTTATGTATATTTCGGACTAGTACTTCAAAAGAAAAATTTCTTAATTAACAATTATCCTTTAAATTAAAAAAAAAATTATGCTGTATCATTTGTAAATTAGAAAAAAAAGAAAGATCCCGATCACTCATATTAACTTTTTATTTCTTAAAAAAATAAATATGCACTTTTTTTTCAGAACTCGCTTATTGGGAAATATTACAATCTGTCTCAAAGAACATTTATAATAGTGTTCAGGGAGCACATTCACACTCTATGTACAATAAATAAAAATAAGCTAAACAGCTAAATAATATAACTGAAACTAAATGTATATAAACAAAAAATAAATTCATTCACTCAAGAAAACTCCATGCTAAGCCTTTCCCATGGAAAAACAGAGCTCTAGAAAATCTCAGCGCCTCTCACTCAGCCGCAGTAATATCATTAACTTAATTTATGAATTCATAAAAATAATTTGAAAACATTTAAACTGAATCGTATTAAGCTGACCACCAACACAATTCTAATTTGATTAAATGATGATGAAAAAACGGTCGAAGTGGGTTGCATAGATTATTTTGCGATTTGCAAGTTGAATCAGACGACGTTAATTATACGTCAATAGTCAATTCGTCACCCATTAATTCTCATTACCTCCTGTAATAACCTCTTTGTTCCAAACTGAATTTCACCTGTGCCATACCTTCGCCTTTGAGACTACTATAATTCGAAGCGATTTCGTCCAATTAATTGGCCAAAAAACTGAGTGAGCGAGCAATAGGCATTGGTGGAACGAATCATACCTACCATCAAACCTTATATAACATTAAAAAAGAAAATCTCCCCTTAAAAAAATCCCATTCATGAAACTTGAAATTCAATTCAGGAATAATTTAATTTTATATAGATAAAATATTATTGTTTTCGTTTTGGTTGAAAAAATATCATTTAAAAAACAAAAACGAGTTATAGAAAAAAAATATTTTTCATAATTTTCCAATGACGCAAGTGGTTAATTACACTTACCAATATTATCAATTTAAATAAGTAAAAGATTAAAATAATCAAGGGAATTGAATACAGCTGATGTTTTTTATAATATAAAACTATGAAAGAAGTTGTGGTTCATTCAAAATGAATACTATTACGACAGTTAAAAAATAAATTTACATACAATTACATTGTTTTATAATTAACAGAAAACAATAGAAGAATAATGTATTCCACTTCAGCCATAATCTTGAAAGGTTGGCTGTATATAAAATTTAAATTAATATTAATTTATAATTTTATTTTTAAATTAAATGTAATAAACTGTGAACACGACTCCAGATCATATCAAATGCTGTTTTATGTCATCTGATCGATTCATTTTTGCAAAGATTAAAAAGTTTGTTAGATAGTTATTTATCGGTTAATAAATTTTAAATAATGGTTAGTTACTTTACATTTTATTATTCTATAGTTTTCCTGCTTCTACTGCAATATTAAAAACACCAGTATACATAAATCTCGAATCCTCTCACTAGAAAGTGTAAAAAATTAAACTCTTTTATTCCCTTTGTTTATCATTTAGTCTAAATTTTTTAGAAACGTAAAATTTGTTATAAACCTATGGTACTGATGACCTAGGGATTTTACGCCTTTAAGCAATAAGCAATTTAAACAATCAGTAAATAAAAATTTTAATTTTAAATTAAATGTTCAAACTTAGTTTTTGATTATTACTTATTAATGAACGTTTCGAGAAATCTCTACCCCTTTCTTAAGGATCTAAAATTATACAATTTTTATTTTATAGGCTCTATCATTTGAATTTAAATTTTAATACCAATAATATATTAAAATTAAAAGTTACTGGTTCATGACAGTGTCTATAATATATCAACTGTATAATTTATACTGAAAAGGGGACAGATATTCTCATAAAAACGTAAATAATCAAATAGGAAGTGTCATTATTTATTAAATTGACCTATAGACAAGTAATGGTGAAAAAATAATCTTAAAAAAAGTCAAAAATTGAAAATTAAATGTTACAAAATGTAACAGAAAACAGAATTAGTATGTTGTGTATCTCGATATGAGATACCATGCCATATTGAATGCTCTTTGATCTGATCGGTTCTTAGTTAAAAAGATTATGTTTAAGACTATGTTTAATTATTTATTTATTTAAGATATTTAAGGTTTTGGTTTTAGATTCTTCCAGCAATATTCTGACCATATATATATATATATATATATATATATATATATATATATATATATATATATTTTTTTTTTTTTTTAATTTTTACTCCCTTTTATTAATATATAGTTAATATTTTTAAGATATAATAGTAATATATTTCTTTTTTTTTTTGCAGAGGGGCCACAGGAGTTGGATGACACACTTGCCACTCTCTCGCCCGGGACGGAAGTAAGACACTGCCATTTGAATCGCGAAGCAAATTCCTAAGTAAAGAACCATCACTGCCAGCCCAGCCTAGTTATCTTATATACTACTTAATACATCTAAATATTGAAATGATGATGTTAAATTGACATTACTTAGGGTCTTATATTATTGTCTATGTATCTATTTTAAGTAAATATTTTTTTTATAATTTTTATGTAAATATTGTATTGTTTATTTCAAATTCATTATTTTGGCTAAATAAATTGTAAAGTCAAAAGATCATTTTTTTCTATCTACCTACCCTGCTTTTTTATTCTATTATTTAACAGTGATATAAATAAAAAAAAATGTATTAATAATTAATAAAGTAAGGGTAAAACTATTTGTCAAAATAAATGTCAAAACGTTGATAATATTATTAAAATATAAATTATGTATAATATTGTTGTGTATATTACCAGAAAAGTTATTTACAAAATTATTTAAACTATTTATAATAAATAATAAATGACAAAATTACAGTTATATATATATTTTTTTCTATTTTCCCTATGAGGTGACCCCACATAAGAATCGTTTATTTGATTCACCTTCATACTACTGTGCCTTAAAGGCATACTACATGAATTAAAATTGTTTACATAATTTTATTTTCTCGTTTGATATGATATGAATTTTTAGTTTAGAATTATATATATTAACAAACAAAAATATAAAAAAAAACTAAACAGAAATATAACAGAACCAAGTAAGTTAAACACAAAAAGTAAATTCAACAAAGGCAACTACACTGCCCATCACTGGTAAGTATGTCAAAGTCGATAAATAAATAAATTTAAGAACGTCTGCTATAGTCTATAGCAACGCTGGTTTTACGGTCGCCATCTTGAAAGGAAAAGGTAGATAGATATGTCGATGAAGGAGGATCATCCTCGGGTGACCTCTAATTTTAGATCCAAATTTGAAAAAAATCTGTCCAATAGTTTCGGACGGACAACAAAATTTTTTTATTCGCTCTTCGAATTCTACGTATCATGAAACGTAATACCTTAAATTTCTGAATTTTTTATTCGATCACAATGGTTCATTATTGAAAATAATAAACTAAAATCTTTTTGAAAAGTGAATGGAGGAGATTAGATCTTTAATCCCTTGACCACTTCGGATTTTATAGAAACTTTTTAATATTTTTAGCGAATAAAATAATATCCAGCTTATGGTTTCGATACTCTCAGTAGTAGACTTCGACGAGTAAACTCTTATATTTTATATATTATTATATTATATTATAAATTATATTAATATATCTACTCGCATACTGTCTTACTACTGCTAACCAAGGCTCTTGTGTGTTAAACAAATCGGCCTTTAGCGAGTGCAATAACGTTTAAGTATAACAATAAGGGATATATATTTTAATTATTAAGCTGAAGGGATATTTTCCTGTGCGACATGCTAATCACTTATTAAGTAAATTGTTTCTTTAAAAGTCCAGGGAAAGTATGAAGCTTCAGTAACATTAGATTGTCCAGTAACAATACAGTATCTTGATAATATTATATTGTTTGTAGGAATTAGTGTTCCCAAATACGAGTCGATGAGTCTTGGTCTTGCGCTCTCATACGTGTTGCAAGTGTATCGAAACAGTCTTGCAGTTACTTATTAGCTTATTACTATAGAATACTGTAATTTTTCAGATAACATAAGTAAGCTCGAATGAAAAATTATAAGAATTAAACGCAAATGGATATAGGATTTACTAATTTTTTAAATATAGTAACTAAAATTGTCAAATATTAGTAACTATTTTGCCTTAATTTTTATTTAATAAATCGATTTCTTTTTACCAGTCTTGGTCTTGGTCTTGCAACAGTTAGGCGGTCTTGCGATTGTGGGCAACACTAGTATGATAACTAGGATAAGATGATAGCAAATCTCTAGAGTAGAGAAATATTAAGTTTATCACTTATATAATACACATCAATTTCCATGAAAGAAATCTGGGAGAAAAAACACAATTTTATAACCACCTTATATAAGAAAATTTTGAAAAATCATTCTTTTATTTTTATAAATAAAATGTGTTTTTAGGCAATTATAATTATTAACATACATCCCATGGATGATAAATATTCAGGACGCAGTCATAAAGTTTTTCTTAATGCCGACGTTTCAACCCAAAAATATGGGTCATCATAAGGGCTGAAAATACTTTAAATACTTTAGAGATATATTTAATACGACCGATAATGGTTAATAATAAACTATAGTGATTGGTGGTACATGAATCTTAATTAATATTACAATACACAATGTTACAAATGTACCATTGTGCCATATTACATATAACATCAATCACTAGAGTTTATTATTAACCATTATCGGTGGTATAATATTATATCTCTGATTGTATTTAAAAAAAAATTTAGCCCTGATGATGACCCACATGTTTGGGTTGAAACGTCGGCACTTATAAAAAATTATAATGACTGCGTCCTGAATATTTATCACCCATGAAATATCGAATAGTCGACAACTTTCAATGATTCATAAAATACATCCCATATGATGAAACCACAAGAAATAAAAGCTTTGCAACGGTTGATTGTAGTCATTTTTGCTGAAAAGAAGTATACTTTTAGATGACTGGATTGAAAATCACATCATTTCTTAACACAACTTGAGTTAATTAATATGGACTCAAAGCTTATTAAACGGGGAAGTTTTTGTAAAAGTGGATTAAATGTAGAACAGTTGAAGGATAATAAAAAAATATAACAAATAATTTATGACTTTTTTTAAAACTTAACTTAGCTGTGTTTAGCCACTCATAAGTCCTCTTTAAATAATTTTAACAATGACATACTCTACTTTTATTTAAAGTATATTTTGTCTAGTTTACTATGAAACAATGTTTAATTACTTAAATCAAATATTGTTTAAGTTATCGCTTCCTATTCAACATAAAACGTGTCTCGCTTAAAAACACAAATCTTAAATTTCCTACTATTTCGCTGGAAATTGGACAATTGTTTATATGTAATTTTTATAGATCCTGATGTCTACTATCAACCTTTTAAATATTTCTCTCTACTTACGGGACAAACTGTATACCTAGTTCTGTTTTTGTTTACATCCTTAGGTATTATTTAAATAATCCTTACCTCTATCAGGTTATTGTCAGGATAATAATCCCAATTAGTTTGTATTTTTCTTTCGCTCAGTTAACATGAAGTAGGGTAATAAAGAAAACCGAATAGCTGTGATCGTTTTACAAAAAATTGGAAAATGTAGGTCAGAGATTTTCAACTCTTTGAAACCTTTGGGTATCAGCCGTATGCTCGTGTGTCGCACTATAAATAGAGACCATATCTGTATGTGACAGACCTCGACCGGGCCATCCCCGTACTGTAAGAACGGCAAATGGAGTGAGAGCAGTAGCTGCTCGAATCAGAAGAAATCCCATTCGAAAACAACAAATTGGGCAATTTTTTATAGGTACTTTTTTATGGATCCTGATGTTTAGTATCATCCTTTTAAATATTTCCCTCTACTTACGGGACACCATATACCGTTAGTATATTGTGACTTCGTCAATGGTATGTCATATTATCCAGAGAACTTTTAGTCTTTTTTATACAGAACTAAATCTCAGTAAATAAATTAAAAAATAATACACTAATCTGCATAGTTGCAGAGCTACCTGAATAATTATTATTTTCACCTGTGGGCCGAATGAATACACTCGACAATTGGGTCAATGCAAAAGGTGGGTCCACATGCCTTCATACTGTGACCGTTAGTGCTCACTTAGCAATCAGAGCGCTGCGTCATCAGCTTCAGCAGATTAGAAAGCCGGGTACATTATCAAAGTATATTTTAATGTATTTTTAATACATTAACGTGTAGGAATATATGATTTCAAATTACGATTTCTTTTTTTATTTTAACTTATTTATTCAGAATTGTTACAATCTGTCACAATTAAGGACATTTATAATAGTGTTCAGAGAGTATATTCACACTCTATATTTCAAAATTAATGACTATATCATCCGATCTCGGTTGATCCGTCTGTTTTATCGAGATCATTCATAGTAATCATAAATTGCATGTCTACGACAAAGCAATAAATTTTACTTATCGAATATGTCACACAAGAACAAAAATTTCTTTAAGGAAGGAGATGGTCCGGTGTTGCGGTCATAAATAGGTTAAAAACTGGGAAAACTATTTTATTAAAAGCCAACGTTTCGACCCGAATTTGCAGATCTTCTTCAGGGAGGTGCGTTCAGCTAGGAGTTTCACTTAGAACTAAGTGAAACTCTACTTTTAGAACTCTAGAAGACAAGCAGTGAAACTCCTAGTTGAACACACCTCCCTGAAGAAGACCTGCAAAGTCGGGTCGAAACGTTGGCCTTTAATAAAATAGTTTTGCCAATATTAACCTATTTATGACCGCCACCCCGGACCATCTCCTTTCTTTATTATGCAACGGTCAATTATTAAATATTAAAAAAATGTCTTAAAATTTCTTGCCATCATAACTCAGATTTATAAAAAAAATATACAACAGTATTTATGCAATTGGTATTATGTATTTTAAACCTCTTAAATGTGTCAAAGTAGAGAAACTTATTTTTTTTTTTTAAATTGTGTTAAATATGGCCGCTATTTTAGGGTCCTTTAAACTGGAGCTAATTTCGTAAACGCACGGAGAAGGTTATAAAGAGATTTCGATGTCGTATTTACTTCTTTGTACAGCACAAGTCTACACAATACCACAAACAAGATATATATTTTAGTTATAGATAATTTTTTTCTCTTACTTGTATTTCAGTTAATCAGCTGTTCAATATAACCTTCCTTAGCTATGTAAATAGAACCTTAATTTTCCTTCAGTATGTATTTGGATCGCTTCGTGGGATGTCTACAGCAATATAAAAAATTTAAAAAACCTGTACCACTACAACCCATGAAGGGTCTTGGATTCAGTACTATTTAGGCAAAACACCGTTTCTATGTCAACGGTTGTGCAAGAAGGTGATTTGATCGAGATCACGCTCAACCTCCAGGTTTTTCCCCTTAATTATTTATTTAATTAAGAGTACACGCTTTACAGAGGCTGGGTGTGCCACAGGAGGGTCTCTCGACCCATGGCCGCCCCCCGGCTAATTAAACAGTTAAATAAATTTTCTGCTATGAGCTCAGTACCCTACCACTGAGCTACCCCACTCACTTTGGCAATATATATATATATATATATATATATATATATATAT